GGGACGAATCCCATAGGCGTCGGGGAGGACCACCCGTCGCAGCCGACCCACCGTAGCAGAGTCTGCATGCGCTCGTCGGTCACCCAGGGGAGACTACAAGGATCTACAATCATCCAGGCTGTCGCCCTGGGGACACTTGCTAGAAGAAAAATCAAGTCAAACGGAAGAAAAGGAAAAAAATTCTTCAGAGAAATTTTTTTAGCTCCTTACTCCTGACGCTAGGCAAAAAACTGGGAGACTTGTCAGCAAGTGAGGGGTTGGGCCACCAGCAGGGGCCGCCCCTAGGCTGTCTTGTCTTTTAGTTATGTGCCTAGCGTCCTACTCCTGCAGGTGGCGATATACCCTACCATTCAGGATCTACGATCTGTTGCCCTGTGTCCTTCAATGAACGGGAGAGAAAGTCAAATAACAAATATAAACACTCCTCCGCAATTGCTTCATCTCCAGCCGACAATGAAGCTGGCCCAATCCTCTCCTTTCATAGTTTATAAAAATGTTTGATGGCCACATTTCAATAGACTTAGCAGTAGGAGATGCCTTGCTGTTTATGTTTAAGGCACTAAGTGAGCACACCTATATTATAAATTAACACCCCTTCTAATGCATTTAGCAACCATATGCCAGCTTTTAAAGGTGAAAGACTTGCATCGTTTTTTTTATAGACTGTGTTAAGGCTGTAATATGTAAAGATGGCTGCAAAAGGATATAATTAACTATCTATAATTAACAGAAAACACTGTTTAAATGTCTGTATAGACCACAGCTTCATATTTGTTTGCTTTGGAACACTACAGAATGTGTAAATAGTACCAGCATTTCAGACATGTAACATAACATGTTTGCATGCCCCAAGAGCATCAAATGTTTGAGTTTGCATGTTAATGCATAAATAATACAGAGTGATCTAAACTTAATAACTGGTCAAATATAAATGCCAATAAAAGAAGGGTTTTGTAACAAGTAAGGTCTGTATGGGTCACTGCAACTGACAAGATTAAAAGATTTATTAGTGAATATGAAAGTAAGTTGCTGATGAAAAATTATGTTATTGTGTACCTGTAAGCTACCAAAATCCACAATGATGACATCAGTCTTGTCGTGATAGAAGCCAGACTTTGGAAGCAGCAAAAAAGATGGCTGAAGATTGATCCGCAAGTCAAGAACTTTCCGGGTTTCAATCATATGGGTAAGTCCTTGATGACACAAAAAAGTAAAATGTAAAACAAGTTAAAGCTGAAGTTTAATTTGGTTATATTTTGCCTTCCTTGATTCCTTTCTCGCTCCTCATCAATTAAATCAACCATCTATTTTAATGACATAGCTTATTTTAGACAAAGTGACATCATCGCTTGGTCTCTGCGCTTTTCTATGCATTGCAGACAGATCATGGCTGATGGGAGCAGACAGCAGGGTATTGTACATAGCTTCCTGAACACATAATAGAACCCTGCCTAAGTTTTGCAAATATCAAAATGCCTTCATGGGTGGGTGTCGGTCTGGAGGAGTAGGTATTTCAAGGCAGGCTTCATATGCACACAGACTGCGTTAGGTAATGCCCACATGTGATGCTGAACCTCTATGATTAAAAGAACTCCAATGAATTAGCGGAGCGGACAAGGAGGAAAGATTGAGATGATGCTTGGCATGCTTCAGCCCGAGCCCTTCAGCTTTAATACAATAGGCCTTCATCAGATGGAAACTCCAGTCCATTTAAATTCACATCAAATAAAATTGACTACCTTAGCAAATGTATTTTACATACACTCAAGAAAAAACAAACATTCTCCATTAAACAGAAACAAAGCATTCAATAAAAAAAGTTTTATAATATATATAATGTGGATGCAGTTAGAAATTGCTACTTAACTAAAGCAATCTAAAGAAAACTGTATTTTCATAACATTTGATCAAATACTGTAATATAAAGGTGGACAACCAGTCAACACTAACATGCTCAAAGATCTGGAAAAGCGTAAATCAGCAATTATTTAAAAAAGTAACTTAAATCTGTTTGTCATTAAAGTGCAACTGAAGCCTAAACTTTTTTCTTTTTGGAGTGAAGAGGGCTTATTACTGTCGGTGTCCTCGAGATTCACACTCTATTTGTCCTGGTGACTGTAATGATTGAAAGTAAAAGTTTAAGAAAAAAAATACATTTTTATTTATATTTCTAAATATAAGGGAATCTTCCAATGGGAACACTAGCTCCAGTGACACTGCTAACCACGAGGGATTTCCTTTTCTTTGAAGGGATTTCCTTTCACTTCCTGTTGTGACTGTCAACAGGAAGTGAAGGAACCCCCCCCGTCCTTCCCATGGGACAGATGGTGGAAAAAAAAAAAACACTAACCCTTTCCAACTCTATCCAAAACTGGAACAAAGTTTTGACTTCAGTTCTCCTTTAATGGTGACTACTTATCCAAGAAGACAAATTTTAAGAAAATAAAAAGCTGGTTATCCCACGTTAGGAGCAAAAATACATTTGTGATTTCACTGAGAACCACAGAAAAGTCCACAAAATGTGGATAGCAGTTGTGCTCTAATTATCCTACGCCTATTGTCTACCAGGCTTTTGGTTTTGTAGCTTCACTGGGCTTCACCAACATTGGTTTCATAGATGTTTGAAAGAATATGCTACAGCTCCATTTAGAGGGTTCCATACAGATAAATACCATACCAACTGAACACACTTAAGCAGCCCAATCTTTAATGAGCTGGTCATAAGGCCACGATTGCAAAGTCTGACTAATCCAATTTACTTAGCCCAAAATACTACATCAGGGGTAGGCAAACCTTGCAACTCCAGCTTTGATGAAACTACAAATCCCATCAAGCATATGCAGTTGCCTTTCCGAGTCATACCTGTGGCTGCCAGACTCTTGCAGTGCCTCATGGGACCTGTAGTTCTACAAGAATTGGTGTGCCAAGGTTGCCTACCCCTCTTCTATATCATGCAGATTGAAAAAACACATACATATGTTTCATACTCAGCCACCCTAACAATGCCATAGCACATTATCTAAGTGTTTATTTATCTGCCCTGATGGCCGTCTGTGTTTGAGGCAGTGTCCTGGTCATTTTCATATTAGTTATGAAATAAACCTAATATGTCTGATAATCGGACAATGTGTGAGTGCCTTTCTTAGCAGCCTGGACCAGAGCTCAACAGCACATACAACAGCTTCTATTAACACTATGCTATTCATCCTCTGCAAGCAAGACATAAAACTATATAGCATGAATCTCAGGAACTGGAGATTTTCCCATTGCAGTTTGCTACTTTTTAAAAGAACAACATGTACGTTCTACTTGCAGATCAATTCCCCAAATACTTATATCACATTATGGGGAATGCATCAGGCAAGCAATAAGGAATCATATGCATTTCTAAAAGAACATTGTTCTCATTAGCAAGATATGGAGATTCTGCTGAGGGTGTCTTGCCACTGGAGTGTAACAGATATAAGAAGCCAGCTTGTATTCACACTGACTGTCACAATTCAGAGAAAGGAAATTGAATTTGGTAAGGGACATGGAGGATATCAGCTATGAGGATAAAATGAAAAGAAAAAAGGTATTCACCCTGGAGAGGCAATCAAGGGTCCCTATAGTAAATTTTAGTTGTTCAATTTAAGGACATTACAAAAAAGACACAAATGAACTCTTCGTGACTGTAGAAAAAGAAGTTTAAACTCTGCAGTCAGAAAGGGTTATTTACTGTAAAAGTGATGGAAATGTTGAATCAACATCAACAAGAGCTGTTTCTAATCAACTCAATGAATTGCTTCAAAAAACATTAGAAAGTATTTTTAAATGCACAAAAATAGAAACAGTTACCAACGTTTGGAAGAAATAATACTTTGAAACAGTGCATGTCATTGGTGCACTATTCTTCCCATTAACAACAACGATGAATCACTATTCCTCCTACTGATCTCCACGAAGAAGTACTTATCCTTCCACTGACATCAACCCTGGAGCAATTTTTTTACTCCCACTGGCCACCAGTTTGGGGCATCTGTCACACCCATTGTCACCAGGCCATTTTCTACTCCAACTGGCCACAGTCTGCCCAACCGCAGATAGATGTTTAGTAGATTTTAGGACCCCGTTGTAGGAAATTAATCCAGTAAAGTATTTGACTGACTTTGGAGATTGGGAATTAATGGATTCCCTGTTGAAGCAAAACAGGAATTTTGTTTGGCCTCCCTCACTATCATCTGCAGAATTACAGTTTTGAGGATACATGGTGTTTTGATTTGGTTGAACTCGATGAATATGTGTAACAGTGTACAAGTAGGGTAGCAAGTAGATAAGGTTTACCTGCAGCTGTTTTTTCTTTGATCTCTTCCAGTTTCATCAGTGTAGCAGATGTGAGTTGTTCTAAATCCATTCCTTTGTGAGTCTGGAAAAAGTCTGCGAGAGCATTTATGGTAACCTATGAAACAAGACATAATTGGTAAAATGTTATATATTACAACTGCACTGCAATTTGAATTGTGAGTGTTATATAGATCAATAAATAAAACTGTGCCAATTCACTATATTGAAATCTACATACATATAAACATATAAATAGTAGTGAAACCAAATTCCCAAATGGCAGCGGGTGCTCTGGACTGTTGAGTCAAAATGTAAAATATTTGGCTGTAGCAGGAGGCAGTATGTTTGCCGAAGGGCTGGAGAGCAGTACAAATCAGTGTCTGAAGCAACAGTGAAGCATGGTGGAGGTTCCTTGCAAGTCTGAGGCTACATTTCTGCCAATGGAGTTGGAGATTTGGTCGGGATCAATGGTGTCCGCAATGCTGAGAAATACAAGCAGATACTTATCCAACATGCCATACCATCAGGGAGACATGTGACTGGCCCCAAATTTATTCTGCAGCAAGACAACGACCCCACACATACAGCCAACGTCACTAAGAACTATCTTCAGTGTAAAGAAGAACAAGGAGTCCTGGAAGTGATGGCTTGGCCCCCACAGAGCCCTGATCTCATCATCCAGTCTGTCTGGGATTACATGAAGACACAGAAAGATTTGAGGCAGCCTACATCCACAGAAGTTCTGTGGTTAGTTCTCAAAGAAGTTTGGATCAACCTACCTGCCGAGTTCCTTCAAAAACTGCAAGTGGGAGGGATGTCAGAATGTTAGGCGGTGCACACCAAATGAACAGTGGAGGGGGACTCACTTCAGAATCGTTCATAAAGCATATTATGTCTTTGATTTCTTTTTTAAAATTAGAGCTCCGAGCCCAGACTTAATAGCATGTCCAAAATGTACCCTGGGGGACACTGTCTATGGGACTGTCCACATATCGTCAATTTCTGGGACTCAATCCTTTCTTATTTGTCAGATATGTTGGACATTCCCCTGACGCGAGAACCCTGGCTGTGTCTTTTCAGTTATTGGAAGCCAGAGCCTACCCCAAGTAGACAGAAACAGCAATTAATATTTGTGGCCTTGCTGCTGGCGAAGCGAATAATAATGCATCAAGGGCTATCCATGCAACCACCTTCATCCCAGCACTTTGTGACGGCATTGACGTCCTTAATGTGGAAAGAGAGGCTTGAGGCCACTCTCGACCCTGATAAATATTCCACCAACTTCAAGAAATGTGAATCTTTCATATTACACAATTACTCAGGATTGGAGTTATACGCTCTAATTTATCCCTTCAAACTTACGAATTGGTACCTAGAAAGGAGCCTGGATAAAACCTTAGGGCGGCTGGAGATACCTGATGATTATGACCCTGGCTAGCTCAGGCAGTCCTAGAGTTTTGCCTCCCACACGGATGTGTGATGGTAGACTGTAACCCACTCAGGGAGCGACAAGATGTCACTTATTTGAAATTGTACGATTTTACATGCTGCTCTTATTCTTTATTCTTTGTATACGTGTGACATGAGTATCTGATTTTCTTACATAACACATTGTCCATATTGTTCTTATATGCTTTGGACTTTGCTGTATTTCCTGAAAACTCAATAAATTGTTTGGAAAAAAGAAGAATTAATGCTGATTTGAAGGCAAACGGTGGTCACACCAAATATTGATTTGGATTTCTCTTCTGTTCATTTACTTTCCATTTTGTTCATTGATAAAAATAAACAATTAACACTTTTATTTCTGAAAGCATTCTTACTTTACAGCATTTTTTCACACCTGCCTAAAACTTTTGCACAGTACTACATACTGTATATACATACATAACACATACATTTGACTTTCAGTAGACGATGGTTTTGGTTCTACCTAAAAAGTTTTGGATTAACATGCAGCATGGATATTAGAAACCATGAAATTTAAAACATTGGTACAATATAGACACAGCAGAGTATACAAATATGAAGTGCAGAATATGGAGCGAAGAAGAACAATAGTACCCAATACTGCCTGACTGCTCACTGATATTTACAGGCAGCAGTAGCTATGGAAACGAATTACTAAAAAATGTATAGGTAGTACATGACCGTTTCTCAGCTAGTAAAAGAGACAGTATGCAGTACTATCATTTTTTTCTAACAACACAGGTCTCTGTAGTAAAACTGCCTTTTAGACAGTGTGGGCCTTTACCCCCCTTGGCTAAAAATCACATCAGCATACAGCTCTGCATGCTGATATGAAATCATCTTACATCAGGGGTGCCCATTAGGTAGATCGTGATCTACCATTAGCTCTCAAAGCTGATGCTGGTAGATCACGAAGGGTGTGAATGGTAGCCCCTTTATTCCATTTTTGTATATTTATTTAGCTGTGCACACATGATTACCTATTAGCCTGAGTCTGCTGAGCCAAGCTCCCCGACACCTTTCTGGTGGATACTGGTGGTTGAAGTGCTATGTATTACATCAAAGCATATTAGTTTACGCAGCCAGTTGCACTACTCTGTTTGCACAATACAGCAAGGAGAGACAGCCAGGAGAGAGAGCAAGGAGAGACAGCCAGGAGAGAGAGCAAGGAGAGACAGACAGGAGAGAGAGCAAGGAGAGACAGCCAGGGGAGGGAGCCAAGAGAGTGAAGAGAGAAAATGAGGAATGACAGCCAGGAGAGAGAGCAAGGAAAGACAACCAGGAGAGAGAGGAGAGCCAGCTGGAAGAATGAGCGAGGAGAGACAGCCAGGAGGATGAGCAAGGAGAGACAGCCAGGAAAGAGAGAACAAGGGAGGTATTTTTTTTGTTGGTAGATCTCATGTAGCTCGTCATTTGAAAAGTAGATCTTAACACAAAAAATTGTGGGCACCCCTGTCTTACATTCATTAGTTAATCAAATATACTTTAATTTTACTACCAATTTCTTGATTTCACCTTCCTGGTACTTCTACGGTAAAAGAGATGTAGCCTGTGCCCAAGCACTGCATACTGGGAAGGTTACATCAGCAGAGCATTGCTGGGAAATCTCATCTGTAATCATGCGAGATCTCAGGGAAAAGCATTTTCCTTCACTGTGATGATATGCATGGTCACATGTCCTGGTCACATGTGCCAGAGTTCCAGGAAGTAAGAGAAGAATGGGGAGGGGAAAAAAAAGGTATACAAAGCCGGCAATTATCTAGAAGTGTCTGTTTGTAGATTGTCGATTGTCATTACTAAACATTTCTAAAGGTGCCTTTTTGTTATTTTGAAGATATGGATAGAGTTCAGTTTTAAGAGAGGGGGACAGTGTTTAAAGGGACACAGAAATTCAGAGAAGATTGAATTCTACTGCCGCCTACAGGAAAATTTGAACAATTCAATGATTCATTGAATGTTATTCAATGAATTCAACAAAATGAATGGATCTGATGTGTTTACTCACAAACCAGCTGCTTGTTCTACAATACTCAATGACAGGAAAAGAACACGGAGACCACGTATTTAAATTCCACCCAGTGGATGAGGCCATTGCTCCATTCCTCAGGGTTAACTCTTTTCGTGATACAACGATGGAGAGTGGGGATTGCAGATGGCGTCCAGTGGTCCTAGTACGAGGTAGCTTATGTTGCTTAGCCCATCCCAATATGAGTCTTCAGAAACAGTGTCACACCTGAAGCTGTGCCACAGCTCTGGACCCAGAAAGCACTCCACGGCTAATGAACACAGTGCACTCAGGTCTGGAAGCTAGTGGTAAGGGGCTTCCAATCTGGATAACTGCTGCCCAGCAACTTGAAGAGCTGTCGTGATTGAGGAAAATAATGTTGATTGAAGAGGGAAAAAAAAAAGGTTAGACTTTTCTTGGCAGAGCAGAGAAAAGGCATCCATCCTTTTAGGACACTAGCAAAAAACCTGAGGAATGCTAGAATGGGTTATACGGTGCTGGTCACTCTTTTTGTGTGAAGTCTCAGGACAGGAAAGAAATTGATTTTTCTATGGGGCCCCAGCAACAACAGCCAGAAAAGCGATACTCCACTTGGATCAGCTAGGGCAAAGCACACAAGAAGATGCATAGGGTATAAGAGTGTATTTAAACTCAAGAACAAAAATGTAATATATTGCAGCTTACTATTTCTTAGATGTGATGGCTACAATAATTGTTTTCCCGTATTTTTTCCCCCTTTCCTTAACCTGGTGATCCTGCCGGTATCACACTTCCTGTCCTAGAGTGACAATGCTAGCTAGCATGGTCAC